CTCTCAAACAGACCTAAGAACGTTCAGGGTGCGCTACTTCACAGGGAGATTCGCCCCTTGACCCTGCCGGGCTCCTACGTAATTCGCATAACGGCTCTCCCTTCCCCTTTCAAAATCCTGGCTACGTCCCTGGTGTGGGGGGAATCTAAGCAATGGGTGCAGGTGTAACATATAGCGCGCAGCGTTATCTAAGGGCCGAAGGTGTGGGAGGGGGTGTCTTCTGCTCCCAAAACGAGATTTGTTTTTTAATTGGGACTTCTTGATGGCCGGAAATTGCTGGGATGGAAACACTACGCCTATTTTTTTTTTTTTTTTATTCGACTGCCCGACGAGCTTTGGCCGATGGGGGCGGGAACTTGACCACTGATGGGGGAACTTAAGCCCCTGCCCCCGCTGGCGCCGCCACTGGCAGGGGCACGTGGGAATTTCCCCAAAAAATGTTCTTGCAACCCCCAGTCCCACCCCCAAAAATGGAGAAAACCATCGGGTAGAAAAAAAAAATGATGTGTATTTTCTACATGTATTAGTAAACTATCTACCTCTAAAATCGATAAAATAAGCCTCTGAAGCCCATAAATTGTCATATTTTTAGGGGCTTCGGCCCCTGGACCACATTCGAGACATTTTGAACAACGCCCAACCACGCCCACTTCGGGCCACCCCTGCATATTTCCCCTAAAAATTTCATTGTCCTCATTTGTACCCCTCCCCCTCCACCCCCACAGATTTCTGTCGCTGGCGCCGTCACTGGTATTAGAAGTATTATTAACCAGTTACAGATGGTTAAGATGATTACTGTTGTCAATTCAGAGTCACTGGAGAGTTAGTGTTGCAGGATTTTTTCTTAGACCAAAACAACTTCACTCATTTAAAATCTCATATATAGGCCTATTGCACCTCTAATCATGTGTGTATGTTTGTCTTGTGAACGGGATTGCCACCTAGAATAAGGACAGAGTAATTGGCAAATCTATAAAATAAATAAAAACAATAGCAGGCCTTTTATATAATTATACAAAGAAGAAAAGTACATGTTCCTCAACCACTGACCAGGCCTTTTAAAGGCCTTTTTACATTATGACGATAACGATCAACGATAAAAAGCAATTGTTCATATAGAAAATAAGACCAAAGAGAAGTTTTTACACTAGTACGATTCGAAAGCGATTTATCATGTATACGATGAAAAAAAATAATTTCACAAATCAACAAATTTAATAAAGACATGGGAAAACGATGAAATCGTTTTTACTAGGCTACTACTACGATTTTATCGCTTGCCCATGATTATGACTTCATTTCATTTGATTTGTGAAAATATTTGTTATCGTATACCGGTAAACGATAAATCGTTCTTAAATTGCTAGTGTGAACTACCCTTATCTCCGCCTGAGATATATGTGTTCAGTCGTGTAAAGCTTTGTCTACACTCTCAATTTTTTTGTGACAAAAAATGTGATGTGACCATGGATACGATTACGTCATAATAAACTATCAAATTGTATAAAAAAAAAATTGAACATGTTCAACTCTTATTTTCCATCATATTCATGTGACGTTTTTTTTATGAAATTTGATAGTGTAGACAAAGCTTTAGTTTGTATGTGTGTTTTAGTGTTTTCGTGTGGTTTGTTTGTGTACGACATGTCTCAAAGTCTGCCGCACAGACATAATTGAAAATTACAGGGAGTGTTAGGTATAACCCAATGAAAAAATTATTAAATCTTGATGACGATCCGGAGTAGGTGTGGATGTGAGGACCCTTCAAATGGGTTTCAGAGCAAACGTCCTAGACAAGATATCTCAAAAACTAATCAACTGTGAATGAAACATTCGTGAAAGGTTAAAGATGTATTGGCCCTTGCTAATGTCAAAAAATCATAAAACATAAGTTTGAAATAACCTTGCTCATTTTGCAATAACATACAAATTATTAACCTGTGCATAGAAATTATTAAATTAAAAAAATGTGTAAACCAACAAATTATAATAAAAATAATAAAACACTTCCAGTGACTGGAAGTGTTTCTATCCTTTTTCGCTGTAAACTGATGGGTAGACACTTTTTAAAAACACTAATTTCTATGTTCAAGTTGACAACTTTATGTTAATTTCAAAAAATATTTTTTATGATTTTCTTGATATTTAGCATTTACAAAGCTACAAGGAAGAAATTATCAAGTGTTGATCACAATCCAAATTCGGGCTGTGAACTTGAGGGTCATTTAAATTGTTAAGGTTGTGCGTACTTCTTGTGTTCAAAATATCTCAAAAACAGCTGCACAGATCTTAAATGGAAGATACTGTACAGGGAATATTACCTATGACCCAACGATGAGGTGATTAAATTTTGGTGACCATCCAGAGTAGGGTGTGGATATTTAGAGGGAAACGTCGCAGACTATATATTTTAACAAATAATCAACCTATCTGAATGAAACTTTCGTGACAGTTTAAGCAACTTAAAAGGAAAAATTATGAAGTGTTTGTGACAATCCAAATTCGGGTGTGCATTGGAAGGTCAATTAAAATCCTAAGGTCCAGACCTAAATATCTCTAAAAATAATCAATGGCTCTAAATGACACTACCCAGAAATTTTTTCATGTTTCGACGAAGAAATGTTTAAATTTTGGTGACCGTCCGGAGTAGGGTGTGGATATGAGGACCATTTAAAGGAAAACGTCCCAGACTAGATATTTCAAAAAGAAATCAACTGATATGAATGAAATTTTCGTAAAAGCTTAACCAAGGTACAAGGAAGAAATTATAAAGTGTTGGTGACGATCGAACGATCGGCTGTGCACTTGAGGGCCAAAAGGTCCCAGACCTAAATATTTCGAAAATTGATCAATGGATAAAAATAACAATTGGCAAAATAGTTTGTCGTGTTTTAATAAAGAAGTAGGCCTATGTCAATTTTGGTCACGATCCGAAGTAGGGTGTGGAAGGACAATTTAAAGAGTAATTTTGCCGTATTACCGTAGGCAGAAACAATAGCTAGCTATGTGATGAATATTTAAATTAGTGCAATCAGTAAAGGTGTACAGCATTTTATATGTACTAACTTCACTTTTTCGGCACTTATTGGGAATATTCATTTCTTTTTTCTTATTTCTTATTGGGAATATTCATTCTTTACATTTCATGTGACGCTAAAACAAATTTTATTTAAAGTAGATTGTGGTTGGTGGTTGGAAAGTAGGAACATATTTTTGAGGAATTATCTATAGAAAGAGATTGGCGGTGGGAGGAGATGATGTGCTCTCTACTGAGTGCTCTTGTTTCTTTTATTTTTTATATAAACAATGCTTTTTAGGTTTTTTTTGTTGATCGTTATCGTCATAGTGTAAACAAATAAATTCATTTTATCATGAATATTATGCACGTCACGTCACGTCAAATCTGATAACATGTCGTATATGGCGTATCAGCACAATAATTTTAACTTGTAAATTGTTTTAAAAGAAAATAATTTACTTCACTATAACAACAATTCCTTGCCTTTTTCACCCACATGAATAATGATTAAATTTTATGATTACGCACAAAAAAACAATATGAATTACAGATACGTTAAAGTCAATCAGTTAATATTTACAATAACATTATCCAGTCACAGTTTTTAGCCTAGTCGGCCAGGAATCACGATCTTTTACTGCTTTTAGGCTTACGTGTTTTGAAATCGATTTTGATGTACGCTATAGCTCATCCAACCGCCTATGTGGAGATCATTTGAACCAACAAACAAAATCGGTCTTTTCGACCCATCCATTTTGAGTTGTTCCATAATCGTGGCGAAGTGCCACAAAAATCTGCTTTAATCTAAAAAACAACAAACCAACGGTTAAAAATGGCTGAGCAAATGACTCTCAAAGGTACCCTTAAGGGCCATAATGGCTGGGTCACCCAAATTGCAACTGCTCCACGATTTCCAGACATGATTTTATCCAGCTCTCGGGGTAAGGCAATATGGATTGTTTCTTTCGTGTATTACGGGAAAGTCCCATCTTTTTCTGGTAGGAGGATTACTGACTGACCAACTAGGCTTCCGGTCGGCAACACACAGGCTTACAGCTCTTTTAAACTTATGTTGCTTAAGTGTAAATTATGCAGGTAAAATGCTTCAAACTAAAACTTTAAGCCGGCATATAGGCCTAGTCCTTGAGTCCTGTCTAGGCCTAGGCTAGGCACCACACGATGCGTGACGTCACGCACTTCAATTAGTGTCATTAGCC